TCACGAAAATACAATATTTAACATCCCTCTAACTATTGACCTAACTTATGCGACATCAATATTGTTTAGTTGGAAAAATGCATGATTATACCCATTTTAAAGCAAGTATATATAATATTTTATGCTAAAAATAATACAATTTAATTTTAATTTTTTTTAAAAAATCATCTTTTTCTTCAATCATCCCTCCACCCGCACCCTTCACCCCACCCAAAAAAAAACATTTTTCTTCTCTATCCCTCTCCTCCTCCTCTTCTTATTCAGCTCACTCACCCCACCCCCAACCCTTCGGTCTGCCTCCACTCCCACCCTTTCTAAATAGGACTAGACATAAAATATCAAAAATCGAATTATTGAATCGAATCAAAATATTTGGTATTTGGTAATTCGGTATTTGATATGGTATTTGGGAGTAAAATTTTAAAATTATGGTATTTGAGTTTAGGTTTGGTATGAGACATTAGTATCATTTGGTATTCAATATTTCCCGAATACCAAATATTTACTTAATGAAGGTCATATATCAACATATCTATTACTCATTAGTATAAGTCCAAAGAGAAAGTTAAAGAATAAGCATGAATAATCCAAATACATGTCTTTTGGTTGCATCAATTTGCTTTTCTTGTGTCTTCTTACTTGTTGATCTTCTTTTATATCGTGCATTCACATAAAATAATAATAATGATTTGAGTAATAGTATTAACTTTGTAATACAATCGACTATAACTTCAATATGGTATTATCGAATACCGTACCAAACCGAAGTTTAATTTACCGTTTCCCGAATTACCAAATCGAAATTTAAAATTTTGATATTTGATATCTACTTTTAAATTACTGAATCACCAAATCCAAAATTTGAGAAATCCGAATTGAATACCGAATGCTCACCCCTACTTCTAAATATTAGTTTTTCAGATTCTAAAATGTTGAGACCATTATTTGTATTAGTTGGATTCCAAGAAGAGGCATCGTATGAGTTAAAGTGAAGGGTGATGGTGGGTGTTGAAAAAATTAAAACTCCATCTCATAATCTCGAAGAATAACAAATGAGTATTGTAAATTTGTGAAATTAATTCAAAATTGTGATTGAGACTTGTTGGATTGTGTTGGTGAATTTGTAGTTGAAATTAATAAAGTGGATTCTCTCTCTCACTTCATATTCTTTTTACTGATTTTTCTCCTTAAATCACTCTAGCACAATCAGATTTCAAATTTTAAAAATTTTATATCTCCCTCTCAAATCGTGCTCCCAAAATTTTAGTGTAACTTTCTTGTGGTTTCATTTTATTTTTTCTCTTCTGACAGTTTCAATTTTTTGTTTTTGATTTGTATTTGTATATCTCTCTGATTTCTTTTAGTTTTTTTTTTAATTTTCTCCATAAATACTTACAAATCATGATTAAATAAACTCCTTCCAATACAATTATTTGAGGTGTATTCAATTTTATTTTATTTTAGATTTTCATTTGTATATGACGATGCAACAAGTTTTGTAGAATTTTAATTTAAAGGAAATGGAAAAAAGGATGATGGTTCAAGCGAGTTAAATAACGGAAAGCAAAAGAAATTGTATCTAACAACACATGATAATAAAAAACATCTGAAAAAGTATAAGATGAATCTAGGTCAATGGACCAAGATGATGGTGAAGAAATTAAGGCAATTTGTACCATTCATTTTGTATATTTTTTGTAATTTGTATTTTTATCAATTCATTTCACATTATGTTGTATACAATTTTATGGATTTAGCGTATCAATGTTTATTACAGTTTTTCGTCGCTTTTTGTATATTTTTAACAATTATATACAATTACTTTTTGTATTTGTATATTATCATCAGTAAATGTTCTTACTATTATTTGTATTTTTTTTTAAAAAAATAACTCCATTGATCATTGATGTGCAAAAACTTACAATTTGAGTTTGGCATACCAAACTTTGTACATGATCATTGAGGGGAGTTTACTAAGCCACAGGGGATCATAGATGATATGGGATGGTTTGTTCATTTTGATCTTGAAAGAGTGAATATCTCATTTGTACATATTGACTAGCCCCTTTACTTGATTGGGAAGCTCAGTATAAGAGTTGAAGGCATGGATTGACTCAAAATTATGACTCATGCTTACCAATTTATTACCTGGTCTATTGGCTTCTCGGAAACAATGCTTGATTTCAAATCCATGCTTTTCAACTAACTCTTGGATTTCATTGATGATGTGTAGAATCCTCCAAGGCACTTTCCATTCCTGACGCATTTGGTAATGATGAGAGAGACGGTTTCTCCAATGATCACACTGTGTTCATTATTTACACACCATTTTATCTCAAACAACATTGAAGTTGTTTCTGCCATGTTGGATGCTCCTGGTCCCAGAGGTATTGAGTAAGCACAAATAATTCTTCCTTCGTTGTTTCTGATCACTCCCCCTCCTCCACATATACCACGTAAACAACTTCCATTACTATTTAACTTAACAATGTGTGTGTGGGGAGGGGGGGTGGGTGGGGTTGTTCCATTTGATAGCTCTGGAAACTCTTTGCTCAATGTTTGCTTCACAAGCTTTGCAGATTGCACTCCATTCCTCTCCTAAGTTAGCTTTTTTAAACTTCATTTACAACCTGCACACTTACTATTATTTGTATAATTTCAGCGTTGTTGAGGTATTTGTATAATTTGGTTTGCATAGTTTTGTGATTTGTATTTCTATCAATACATTTCACATTATGTTGTATACAATTCTATAGATTTAGCGTATCAATGTTCATTACGGCTTTCTTACCTTTTTAGACATTATATATATTTTCAACAACTATGTACAATTGCTTATTTGTATTTGTATATAATCACCAACTATACGTAACAACTATTTATTTGTATAATTTCAACATTTATATACATTTACATATTTGCATATTTTAATCAATTGTGTTTGTGTGTGTATATATGTATTAAGTCATTTTTACATGTTTATTAGGAAGTTAATTTTTTTTTATTTGACAGAAGTCATATTTGGTAAGAAATTCTAATCATATACAATAATCATGATTTGTGTGATTGTTTTCCATTTTAATAACCTAAATTACCGCCTCATTAATTATGTTAAGAATTCAATTTGTATTACAAAAAAAAATTCCACCAAGATATACAATAGTTACGTTACGTAGTTATTTTAAAATCAAATGGGGAAGAATTTCATCTATTTGGCATAAATTTGATGCTTAATTTGTGAGCATGGTTATTTGAAAATATTCAGAAATTGCAAGTGACTTATTTGTTTTTTTATTTTTTTCTAACATACAATTTCTTACATGTCATTAAAAATGATGTGGAATTTCACGTGTAATCGATTGTGCTACATGCACACTAATCGAATGAGAAAAAAGTTTAAAATATTATGTTCTGATGGATTTAAAAATTTACTTGACAAAGTGATGAGTAGAACAACTAACAAATAAAATCACATACAAGAGTCCCGACTCATTTCACCATACTTAATCCCGAAAATTCGATAATTTGTTTTCCATGCAACATTTGCGCAGATTGAGTTGGAGGATTTGTTACTTATAATCTAATTTTCTATTTTTTATTAAAATTAAAAAGCGCCAAATTTTGAAGAAAAATCATTAGAATTGATGTATTTTATCACATAGATCAATTCTTTTAGAGCAACTTCCACCTATAATAAACATAAAAATCATATTTGTATGTTATAGCTATAGTTTGCATAATTGTGCTCTATAGCAAAATTTATGTTTGTTATGGAGCTTTTGATTTGCATAATTTGCTACAAACATCCAATTTTATACAAATTATTCAGTTTTGTATAAATTCATTTATACATTGTAATTTGTATAATAAGATCTGTATTTGTATAATTATAAGTGTATAGGACGAAAATATATGTATTTGTATTTGTATATACACTTTTCTCTCGCTTTATACAAACACAAACGCATTTTATACATTTTATACCGAAATGTATAAAATGGCTAATTGTATATCGAAAATGGATAATTGTACATCAAATCAGATGACAAAAAAGGGGATGTTTGTTGCGAATTACAATTAAAATAAACTATAGTTTTAACATTTAATTTGAATTAATAGTTTGCTATTTCATATAATTTTTCTTGAGCAACTTTTACATATAGCAAATATAAAAATTATATTTGTATATTATAGTTATAGTTTGCATGATTGCGCTCCATAGCAAATTTTATGGTTGCTATGGAGCTTTTGATTTGTTTAATTTGCTACAAACATCCAATTTTATACAAATTGTTCAGTTTTGTATAAATTCATTTATATATTGTAATTTGTATAATAAGATTTGTATTTGTATAATTATAAGTATATAAGACAAAAATATATATATTTGTATTTGTATATACACTTTTCTCTCGCTTTATACAAACACAAATGCATTTTTTTATACATTTTATACTGAAATGTATAAAATGGCCAATTGTATACCGAAAATAGTTAATTGTATATCAAATCATATGGCAAAAAAAGGGGATGTTTGCTGCAAATTACAATTAAAATAAACTATGGCTATAACATTTAATTTGAATTAATAGTTTATTATTTCATATGATTTTTCCATTCTTATGATTTTGTTTGGGTTACATCTGTGTATATGAACACATTCCTCATGTATATCTGTGTATATCGATACATATCAGAATGATATAAACGTAATATATAGAGATATACATGTGTAGCTAAAATGTTTGTCAACCTAATTTCAGCTTTGAATTTGGACTCCAAATCAGTCTAAATCATCTAATCTTTCTCAAAATTTGTATATCACATGATAGTGAAATTAATTAAGATACAAAGGTGTGGATTCATATAGGTGACCCCACGGACCGAGGCATAGCTATTTAATCTTGAGTGTATCAATTATTTATCATGCAATTAGATGAATATATAACAGATCAATAACTCAATAAATCAACTACCTTAAAATGTTGATACAAGGACCATAAACTAATCCTGCTGGACTTTCAATATATTGGCAAGTAGAGATCCCAGAAGGCAATAAAGTTCCAAATGCAGATAAATAAGATGCCTAAAGGCCGCCAATGTAAACACGAGAAATAGTATAGTAAAATTCTGAAAACTCACAGTAGCCAGAATATTCCTGCCCGACAAGTAGAGCTCACAGCACAACTACGCGTTTTTCTTATCTTTTAATGGCCCTATGGGAATTTTACTCAAAACTCTGGCATCAAAGACGGCGTATTGTTTCTTGATCTCCTGCATTGCTTTCTCAGCTAATGGATCAACTTTATCTTCATACTTCTCGTAAAGAACAGGGACAGTATGGAGGAGTACGAATACTGTTGCGTTGAGAGGAAGATGCAATCAGTATCAGTTTCGAACAGATAACAAATACAAAATGACCCCTATAAAATTTGCACTTACATATGTAGAACAGTGTCAGAAAGTTGCAGCAATTGCCGACAACTGAGAGGATCCATAAACCAGCAACGACCTGATAAAGTGAGTAATTTATGTGAACAAAGATGATTCCAATGAATTAACTGATATAGAATACCATAGTGACATTACTGAATGACATGTCACAAGCTCTTCTGGACCTATTTAAGAAAACTCGAATTGCTTAGTGATCCTAAGGACCTAATAATCAGAAAAGGAGGATAAACTTCAGTAAATAGGATAGTTCAGCCAACATAATTAGGCATAGGCAATCCGAAAGACAAAAGATAGAGCATTCGCAGAAAATACAAGCTAATAAAAACATCCAGTTGGAGTTTTCATTAGCTAAAAGAAGAAAACATCAGTCAAAGGAGCGAGGAGTCTAAGTACACATATGACGTGAAATCTAATGAGGATGAACAAGACAATCATAACCATTTTCTTTTTCAGCATGGCTGATGACAAAGGAGGAACAACAAAGTTTCAGGTAAACTTTATACAAGGAAAGATAGTAACTGAGCAACTTACAGCAAGGAACTTCTTCAGATCTTTCCCAGTTGCGATTTCTCGCAACATGCTAAGAGCACGGTTAATTTCAATACTCAGAGCTGAAGCAATCTCAAGTATTGGCTCCTCTGGAAGCTGAACTTCTGGGATGTGTGGACGTTTCCTATCAAAAGAATGCATAAAACTGTTTCCGACAAGTGGCTAAGCAAATTGCAGAATCAATCAATGCAAAATAAATTAGAAGCTCACTTGTTAATAAAGGTTGTTGCATTGGACCACAAGAATAAGACAGCAAGGGTGAAGATCAACAAGTGACAGACTAGACCAACCAGGAAGTACTCGAGCAATTCAAAAAGAACCCATATTGCAGTTGCTCCACCAAGTACACTAGCAGATATCTTCTTGTTCCTCCACAAGAATACATCAGCAGCTGCATAAAACCAGACATAATCAAACTGACATTTCTCTTCTCAAAAATCCAACTCATAGCACACCTTCATATAACTCTACGTACCATCCCCATAAAGCAACTAAACATCTTTATTTTTAAACCCCTCCCTGAGAGCTCCCACCTTATTGCTCCCTTGGTGACTCACTTACTATCACAACAACCCCCTCTTGTCAACCAAAATCAGATCGCAATAGCCTAAAGTCCATTACTCATCACTTCACTCTTACAAGGAGATGCTTAAACAAAATCAAAACTTAGCCTCATCTGAATGCTATAACACTTGAAAAAGTATTCCACTAAAGAACTTCAACACAAGCCTGACATATATATATATATATATAACTAATAACATATTTGATCTCAACATTCCTTAAGATATTTTTTAGTAACTCACAAATTACTGTTTTCAGCTTCCAACCAAACACGATAGATAATAGACCGATCCCTCTAACCTTCTCAACTTAAATACTAGAGTTGATTTACTACAACTCAGTAGTATCAGCCTACCACAAATAACACTTTTGCATTGCTCTACCCGACCAAAGTCCTGGCAAGCAGATGCTTCAAGCTAGTGTTTGGCCATAAATTTTGAAAAATTATATATGTTTGCCATGAAATTTGATCTGATTTTGAAAATCTAATTTTCAAATATTTTCAAGTTTCCAGAAATTGGCTCATCAAGTTTGAACTTCAAAATCTACAGCCAAACAGGAGCTAAGATACTTCAAAACCCTAAACCCTAATCCATCACTCAACAATCAATCACTTAACCCTAAAGTTTGAAATCATTAAATAAATAAATATACAAAATTGAAGCAGCTGGTAAGTGGTAACAAACTAAAGTTCAAGTAGTATACGTTTGCCTCCACCAAAAACATGGTGAACTGACTTTTCTCTTCCGAACAGCCGCCAAATCTTAGCCTTAACCGACGACGGCGACGGCGACGGCGACGCTTCCGGCGCGGCAGCAGGTTTCACCTCTGAATCTGAATCGGACGACGAGGAACGGTCGAAGTGAATCTTGTCAGCTATTTTCTCCATCAACGATTCTTCTTTGTGCTCTGAATGCTCAACTTGCTCTGCCATTTTCAGTGTGGATCGGAGCTCCGATTCGATTACTGGAAAATTGAAACAGTGAAGAATTAAGTGAGTTTATATATGTCGGGAAAAGGAGGAGGGACCGGACATCCGAACCACTAGGTACGGGTTACCGAGCCTGAATTAAAAGTTCAACTTGTGAGGGAATTTTTTTTTTTTTTCTGATCAGACAAATTAATTTACCTTTTGTAACATTAGATTTAAATTTTGAAAATATTCACCGCGGGTAAGTGTTGCCATGAATGAGATTTCTCTAAAGTAGAAATTTTAATGAAAATTTTAAAATTAAATTGTTTCTAGTTATAGTAAGGTGACGCGAGTAATATCTAACGGTTGTTGAGTTTTAGTCTGGAAAATACTCATAACTCGATAAAATTGAATTTACAAATTAAAGTATTTTTGTCTTATTGGAGTAGATTTGAATTTTGAAAATATTTACCTTAGTCAGTTTAGTGAAAGTAAGAGAATTTTACATTCTTAAATATAAGTTTTGAAAATAAGGGTCTTTTATAAATGAGAAAATACATAAAATTCCCCCTGAACTTGACAACAAAATTTACTTTAACATTTTAACTTTACGAGTAATTATTACCCCTAATCTCTTTTCAAGTGAATTTAATATCACTCTAAAAATATAATACCAATCTCGCAATGGCAAGTGCATTCCACGCACGCCATGTCATTGCTAGTGTAACATCTCACAATTTGAAATGGCTAGAAAGAAGCTAAGAACTGGAAATATTCAATTTTTGGAAATAATGAAAATCTGGAAATTTGTTTAAGTTAGGAAAAAGTTGAGTTTTGGCCAACTTCAAATGGCTATAACTTCTAGCTCAGAATGAGTTAGAGGTACTTCCAGATATGGTAGGAAAGATCTTGGAATTATCTTTCCAACGCCGCTAAGTTTGCACGATTCCAAGTTCGTATGAGGCAGTTACGCCCAATGTTCAAATAAAGAAATGTCCAATCCGGATTTTTGAAGGGTATTTCAGTCCTTTCCTTATCCAATTAATTTAGTTCGTTTTAGTGAATTAATTATGGGTTAAATCAGAATGAGATCAATTTAGTCAATTGGAAATTCACGCTAGGGCTTGGAGAAAAGAGAAAAGAGGAGAAAGGAGAAGAAAAGCTCAAGGTTCGCCAAAAATGATCGATTTTGGTTGTGATTCGCCAAGGAATTCATATTACAAGGTATGTGAGTCTTTCATAGCATTGGGTTCATTCACCCACGTGCCAAACATGTTTAGTTCAGCGAAATCCGTCCTAAAAGAGTTTGAAAGTTGATGTTCTTGACATGTATTCTTGAATTTGAAGGTTGTTCTTGAATTGGGATGAATTGAGGAGTTTCTGAGATCTTTGAGTCGAATTATAGAGTTGTTTTGAGTTAGGTTCTTAGGTACATATGTTGAGTATCTGAATCTAAAGAGTTATTGAGAAAAATAGTCGAGTTTAGGCGAATAAGGGCTGGAAAATGAAGAAGGAAAAGTCGAGCAGGTTTTGGCACGCAAGTCCGCGTCACGGACTTGCTTTCACAGTGCACAAAAAGTTGCTCCGCGTCACGGTTAGGACGCGGACTCATGTCTCAAAATTTAATTTCGTGAGTAATTATTTAAAACACCTCCGCGTCGCGGACTTGTTCCAAGACGGTGATTTTGTGACTTTTCTAATGTTTAGCTATTTAAGATCATTCCTGAACATCATGTGATCCTTCATATCACAAATCAAAATCCTTGAATCCATAATTCAATAGGACCAGTTAAGAGTCAAGTCAAGAGCAGTTAAGATCAGAGACTAGAGAAGTTTTTAAAGTTTTCCAAAAGTCGTTTGCAAACGTTTTAACTTTGTTTTAAGACTTAAGTTTTGAGTTCAGTAAAGAGTAAAGCTTGAAGTTCATTTCTTCAAAAGTATATGGGGACTATGTATTCCCAAAGGGTTTAAAATGTTTTCACATTTAAACAAGAAAGGAAACCTTGATTTCCAAAGAGCATTCGGGCTAGTTTTCATAAAAGAGTAATCGTTTTCTAAATGAGTAAGAGGGGAAACTTCGATTTCCAAGGTTGCCTTTGAGCTAAATTTTTGAGCACTAATCTCAAATCACAGAAGAAGTATGTTTTTTTAAAAAACATAAAGAGCTAGTATTATATTTTGGGAGTAGTATTGAGCACCGATATGGGGGAGCGTTCAGAGAACCCCTAGCCCCCATAAACCATGTAGCCATCATGGGTAAAAAAGGGTCATACTTTTTAGATGAATCCTTTAACGCTTTTAGGCATAGACTAGTGGATCTACTTAGTGAGTTAGGTCTTATACCCCGGCAAGGTATAGGATGGTCCTTGGCAGCGTGAGGTAAAGTGTTGTATCATCACTATAGCTCTTAAGTGATGGTTGTCGGTTAGAGAAACTCCCACAACAGCATTTTATATTTTTATATACATCAGAAATATTTGTATTTTCATATACAAACAGAGTGCATATTGTATCTTTGCATACATACAGAGTTATTATTGTATTTCTAAATACATAGAGTTGACATCATGTTTTAAACAACTTTTCTTTATGTTGCACTTGTTTTTAAACTGCTTTATATTGAAATGAGTTCTGTAAGTTTAGTTAAGTTATTCAGGAGTTGAGTAAAGCCAAGGTAAGTGTTTCTTTCAGATTTTTTCCAAGCTTAAGTTATGTTTAGCATTCCAACTCGCATACTCGTACATTCAATGTATTGATGCCAGTTGACCTGCATCATCTTATGATGCAAATGTAGGTAACCAGGATCAGCATCCAGCGCATCGTTGATTCAATTGAGCTTTAGAGTTGTTGGTGAGCCTCCTTACTTCCGGAAGATTTCCCTTTTTCATTACTTTATCATTTTATTTCATTAGGATGTCGTGGGTGTTGACACCAAATTTTGTCCCTCCTTTCTTCTAATTTATTTTGTTGAGCTTCTAAGTTGCTAATAAGTTGAATAGTTTATAATTCGCTATTATTTTCCATTTATCTCCACTGCTATCATAATTATCTATATTACTTTAACTTTTATTATTTTTATGATTATCATCTTTGTATTATCATTTTCACTATTTTAAAATTATATATTTTTATTTTCGACATTACTATTATTACTTTATTGTCGTCTTCTTTAAAATAGATTGTCGTTACTTTATTTCAAGTTTCGTCCTTACTAAAAATTTTATATAATGTATTTATACTAGTTAGAAGCTCAAAAGAATTAATATAAGAAAGAAAAGGACCATAAAATTGGACCTAATCGAATTCCAATCGGATCAACTATTCAACCCCTTTTTTTGTGTCAAATCTGTCCAAAATAGGCCCAAATTCGCTAGCCCATTTAAAATATATCAGAAAATCTTCAACCCTAATATTATTCTAAACTCATCAGCCACAGTTCTCTCCAAAATGTCACTTTCTCCTTTTCCATTTACGTGCAAAGCTACATTTAGCTTTCAACATGGACATACTTTGGTTTCTCTATTTTGCTAAAACTCTTCTCACTCTTTTTTTTTCAACAGCTTTCTCAGCAACTTTTTCTCTTTGAGCACTCAAAAGATTTCAAATCCTTGGCCTATTATGAAATATGTAGACCTGGAATACAAAGAGATTTCAGCATTTCTTTGGCTTTATTTTGGATTATTATGAACGGTCATTTCGAATTCAAACAACCATGTTCAAACTCCCGCTCAAACATATCTTGATCTGAATTTTGGCCTATAAATACATCTCAAACTCTCAGCCAAAAGCACCTTTGAACATTGGAAAATTTTCACCTTTCTCAAAGGCCAGAACACTTGCAAGAACACCCACGAAAAGTATTAGTTGCCTAGCTTCGAAATACTTTCATACGTGTTTCAGTTTTAGCAAAGGTTGTTCATCCTTGCTCGTTTTGAAATAGCGAGTTTGGGATTCTAGATCGACAACACCCTCAGTTCACTGCCCCATAATCGGTAATCTCGACCGCTTTACTTTGTTATATTTTACTCTTTTATCCAGCTGACCAGCGTGTTCGGTATTAGTTTCTATATGAAAAATGACAAATGATATATTTTTTTTGATGCTTGTGGTTCATATTCCATGTCTGTAGCTTCAAATAAATGATTATGTACATGACTCTGACTCTAACTTTCTTATCATATTTTTAAACTTTGCATAGATAACTCTATTTATTTTGTATTGTAGAAAAGCATGAACTTAGGATCAATTTTTGAATCTACTAGTTTGACGATTTAAATCCCTGACTCAGTTCTTTTGGAAATCATGATTAAGATTTCGTTATATGATAGATACACTATATAAAATAATTATTTTTAACCATCTTTAACTAAATGAATTAATTAGTAGTCTTGTATAAATAATGTTATTTGTCCCTATTACTGTAAATGCCAACTCTCTTTAATACAATCCTAGGATCATGGTTATGAGATTATGTATATTTAAGTAGACCATAAATTGTCGTATTAGGGAGATGAAGTTGATGCTCTGAATTTGTTATATGGCTATAATCCTTGTTGCGCTTCTCCCGTATAATTGTTTTCGTTTTAGTTTGCTTATTGTTATTTGCTAGAAATTTCATTGTTCATTTTGATACTTAGCCATTACATGCTTGCTAATTTTTATTTCTTTTCTTATCTTTGTTTACATGTACATAGTAGTTGAAGAGTCTCACCGTGAGACTCAACGACACCATTGTCATACGGAGCTTGCATAAACCGAACATGGGATTGACCACTCGTATTTTTATAAAACATTTACTCGCGTTTCCTATTTCCAGAAACCTATCTGTACAAAATTAGTTGTCTAGCTTATTATTTACCTTTATGCTTGCTTAATTATTTGGTTTGCTATGATGCTTTTTTTTTTTACAATCTAGACATGTTTGATCTCTACTTGAATACTTTATTAGTGAATTGCATATAGTTTAATAACTTGAATTGAAAACAATCAGCTTGTTCTCTAGAGTCATGTTTAATACTAAAAAAAAAAAGATTTCAATTACCTATTATCTTTTAACT